TTAAAATATTAATAATAGATCATTTAAATATTAATATTTTATTAATAATTTAATCATTTTATAAAATACTAATATTTTATTTCTAGTAAACTTTTGTAAAGCTTCAATCAGAGATCTGACATTAAGGTGGATAAAATAGTTGATTTCCAGTCTTACTAGCTCATGATACTTTTTACCAACCTTAGTAACAACAGTCCACTTGATAATTTTCCGTCTGCGTTTCATTTAGGGAATCAAGATGCTATTTTTTTTTTTTTTTGGATGTCATAGATGTTGACAATGCTGCATTTTTCTGCCAGGTACTTTCCAGAAGGCATCGATATTTACTTTGAAAATGTTGGGGGAAAGATGCTTGATGCTGTGCTACTGAATATGAGGGTCCATGGTCGTATCGCTGCATGTGGAATGATCTCGCAGTACAACCATGACCGGCCTGAAGGAGTGCACAACTTGATGCATATTGTGGGAAAACGAGTTCGCTTGCAAGGATTCCTGGTTGCTGATTTCTATCATCTCTATCCAAAGTTTCTTGAAATGATTATACCTTACATTAAAGAAGGGAAGATAGCGTATGTTGAAGACATAGCCGAAGGCCTCGAGAGGGCTCCAGCAGCTCTCATTGGCCTCTTCACTGGTCGCAATGTTGGGAAACAGTTAGTTGTAGTCTCCCGTGATTGATGTAGCTATACTACAACCTTAATAAAGGTTTTGTGATGGCTGTGCGTGCTACTTTTATAAACTGATCACCTGTTTGATTGAATAAAAGGATGTAGAACAAGAATATCTGTTCTATCAGGACTCTGAATGCATTCTTCTCTCTCAGTGCACTCAACACAATCATAATATTCATCATTTTTACCATAATTGTCATATGCAGAAAACAATTTACGATAATCAGGCTGCCAACTAAAGCTTGATTGTTCAAACTTTTCACAATTGATTCTTTAAAATATTTCACCTCTTCTCTTTGGCCAAATAAACAAAATTTTCTGCCACAAGGCGAATATATGCAAAGCAAACTTTGCCACAACACACGAAAAACTCCATAATTCCTTAAACTTACACAGGAAAAGAATATCCACGGAGATGTTTTGAGTCCACACCTGACTCTCGTACCAATGCTACACGGCCAGTTCGTGCCACCTACATATGGAGGGAAAGAAAAAAGGAATGTTATGAACTGCACTGTAAAGTTTCTGCAATACATTGAACTATGGAAACCAATGTTATTAATATCATAAAATAAAGAAGATTTTATGAAATCAGAAACAAACCTCACAAATGCCATAGGGCTCCAACAATCTCTGCAGTGCAACCATCTTGTCTAGGTCTCCTGTAAGCTGGGAAAAGCATCGAAATCATGTATAACAGTTTCAGAAGTCAGAAAGAACAGATAAGAGGCTGCCAAACAAACATCAGACTTTGCAGTTCACATGAAACAAATGCAACCGATAGAGAATCATGATCTATGAATATTCCATTAGCAATCCTGCCTTCTTCCTCTCCTTCCCCCTTTCCAAAGAAAAGTATGGAAAAAAAAAAGATGAGTGTGGAAATGGGGAACGAGGATCAGTCATAATAATCTTTGCAGAGAGACCAGTAACTGTCCATCCACCACATTACCTCCTACAGGACCAAAGAAAAACAAAATGGATCATGTGATAAATCAATCACTAGGCGTAACAACAATTTGCATATTTTAGACATGGCTTCTACACCAGTACTTAAAGCTGATGTACCTTTGGATGATATTGGCTCAAAGAGGTTTCTCTTCTGTGATACTTTGCAATCATCAAAGCATACTCAAACATGTTT